GATCACCCTTATGGGTGACAGTTTGTGTCGGAATGTGCTCAGTAGCATTATCCGTTGCCTTTTGACTCGGGTTAGGCTTCGGATCAGAAATCAGCTTCGCACCCTTGTCACAGACAGTGGGCTTTGCCCATTCCACTACTTACTTGATTCAGAATTTGCGAAGATACGATACGACACGTTTATAGTGCTTGGCATCGTATACTTCTCGGGACTTTCCGGCCTTTGAGCCGCTGTCCGTTGCTGGGGTCTCGATAGATTCCCCATTGTCGGACATCGCCTCCGTCGCAGTTTGCCTTCGAAGTTTATTGTCGGCAAGTCGGCGAGTCAGACTTGAAGTCAGTCGGTCAACAAGGTCTACGATTCCTTCGTTGAGGCTACAACAATGCCGCGGTGTAGACTTGGCCGGAATCATGATGTCCTGCTCATCATCAGTCAGGGTAAAGTTCAGTAGCAGTTCCGTATCCCCACTTTGCTCTTCCTGTATAACCCTGTCTAACTGATCGAAGATTTCTCTACTCTGTTCCTCTAGACTATCGCGGATAGCGTTAAGGGTCCGGTGTAGGTCGTCCCTTCCCCCAGAACTACAGTCCTGTCAGTCATAGATTGATTTGCATCAGTATTTACTTGCTCGTTTACAGCTTGTAGCAGGTACAGCTCCAGGTGCCAAAGCATCCACACCTAGAGCAGCCTGATCACAATCGCTTGATCTCGAAGACACATGGCTTGTGATATCAGCAAAGATTTCCGCATGTACTAGGTTATTAACTCCCTGCACAGTAACTTTATTCCTTTTGTTCTTCTTTACCATCTTAGTTTATTAAGTTAAGGGCAGTACCTCGATCCATTTTGGTCCACGGCGGATCCGAAGATCCCCAAGGTTTCCACGAAGCGCAGAGAAAAGATAGGTCAGCTTCACACTGCACATCGTAGAGTGCATTCTTTTTATGGAATGTGATTTATTTATGAGATTTTTGAAGTAATACATTCGGACAGATTCCCAAAGGTTCAGGATGCGAGGAATAGTACACCCAAGGATCAAATTGAGCATTTTATTGATTTAATGCCATGTAGGTGTGCTGCCGGTTATGGCTATGCTCTCGATTACTGGCAAAATTTTTTATTTATAAGAAAAAATCAAAAAGTTGCTTTTGTTTTGACCATGTAAAAATTGGGTCAATTTAGTTTTCCATAGAATATTTTTTATTTCAAAATAAATTTTGAGTTTTTTTAAATAAATTTATATCTAAAAAAACGTTCACTATAACTTTATTTTCAAAAAAATTATGGGTCATTTATTCAGTTTGCAATTTCAGTTGCTTTAGTTTTGGCCACCAGTGTATGTATAAAGGCAAAAAATATGAGACCTACAGGTAAATCTGCCAATTGGGCAAGCGTTGGGTGGTATTATGGGAGCTATATCAAAATCTGAAATGATATTAACAAAACTTAATATATAATATATCCTATCATCAATTAGGTACGCTGGACCAAATTCCGCGGCAATCGGAATAACATTCGATAATTGAGATGTTTTTAAAAAATAAAGGAAATTCAATGTACAACGATTTAACAACAATTGGAATAAAAATAAATTAAAAAAATATGAAACTAAAGATAATTGATTTGAATATTTTACAAAGGAACGGATGTATGTTTACATTTTTTACAAATCAAAAATCGATACCACAAAATTTACATTTATACGTAACAAAATAAAAAATTACATGTAAAAAAATGGACATGATGAAACAGCAAACAAACATCATTGCTTTTTTGATTTTCTCTTAATGTGAAACCAAATCATTACTTATATACTTCTTTGTCATATTACACTTTTATATCCGGTTACAATTCTTAATGGAAGAAGAAAAAGGAGAAAACATTCAATGTTGTTTTTTTAATTTAATTGTAAATGTGAGGTTATATAGGTAAGCAGCATTTTGTTTTTGTGATGATTTTCGTGAAGATTTATTATTTTGTTGGTATTTGTGATACAAATGGCATGAACGAAAGGAAATTAAGAGAATTAGAAGATAAAGAAGACTTAAAAGAAGAAGAATAGTAGTGATATTTTGTTGTTGCTAATAAAAATGGATGATATGTAGAAGAAGAAGAGAGCGCGTGCATTAGAAAAGTAAAACATGGTATAGAAAATATTTAAACAAAAATAGAAAAATAATATTTTAAAAAAGAAAACAAAGAATTGAGAAAGAATAAAATCCAAGAAAACAACAAATAGATTTTCAAAGTAAAGTACATGAAAATAATGTAATAATATACACAAGTTATATATATGTAGTAGTAATTAACTTATAAATATTAAATTATTTACCTTATTATTTTTGTTAAAAACAAAATGAAAAGCATTAAAATAAACAAAATTTTTAAACTTTTCTTAAGAGACTGAGAGAGAGAGACACAGAGAACTAAATGAAAAAAACTTTCCATTTTGTTCCAGCTCTTTGGAACTAATTCATTAGAACCCCTTTTAAGACTACTACACTACTAGAAGAGATATCTACTTCTAAAAAAAAATTGTAAATTATATTTTCTTGTTGTTGTTACTTACCTGTCTTTAGGTATTTCAAAACAAAACAAACAATCAAATGAAACATTTTCCCAAAACAAAATTGGATAATAACGAACATGCAGAATACATACATATGTATATTCTTATATTTTTGGCATTCAAATACAAAACATACAGGGAAAAGGGAGGCAGCAGGTGGTGTTTTTTGAGGGGTAGGAGGGGTAATTAACAACAGCTACATTATAAACTCCACAAAAATCATCAACAAATAAGCTTTTATTTATTATTAAAATTTTGTTCTCCAACGAGAGAGAGATTGTTAGTAGTAGAACCATCACCATTAATTACATTTGGTGGTGATATATATTTAAACAGGATATATAGGTATGTAAGGTAGTACTTCTTCGATACTCAAAAGAAAAAAATGTGTTACCAACAAAAACAAAGCATATCCGATCAATAAATAGTTTAGAAAATAGAGTTTTTTAAATTAAAAAGATACCAATGAAAGTGTGTTATTATTCGATTTCTTTCGAAAACGCTTAAAAATAAATACCATTTTGAAATATTAAGGGTTTTTTAAACTTATTTTAGAAGTTAAAAACCAGTACGGAAAGTAGTAAAGTCGGACGGGGCCGACTATATGATACCCTTCACCACATTGGGTATATTCAACAGATCAATCCTAACAGACGTCGCATTTTAAAGGATCATTAAAATTAAATTGGATCCACAAACATGTCATTCTGCAACCGATACTAAATTTTTCATTTGGTCAGATGTAGAACCTATATCTAAATCTGAACCGATTTCAGGAAACTTAACACACATCTAGACCTAATTAATTACGCTGTGCCAAATTTAGTGTAAACCGAAAGATATTAAAGGAACTTTGGTGCACCATTTACCAAAAATCGGACGAAAATATATATGGGAGCTATATCTAAATCTGAACCGATTTTCAGGAAACTTAACACACATCATTCTAGAATCAATCTAGTACGCTAGCCACATTTCATACAAATCGAAGGACATAAAGGGACTTTGGTGCACAATTTACATTAAATCTTAACCGATTTTCACGAAATTTAACACACATCATTCTAGACTTAATTCAGTACGATATACCAAATTTCGTGCAAATCGAAGGATATATAGGGATTTTGGGGTACCATTTACATAAAATCGGATGAACATTTGTATGGGAGCTATATCTAAATCTGAACAAATTTTCTCGAAACTTAAAACACATCATTCTAGAATCAATTCAGCTCGCTATGCCAAATTTCGTGGAAATAGAAAGTCATATAGGGGCTTTGGTAAACAATTAAAATTAAATCGCACGAAAATTTGTATGGGAGCTATATCTAAATCTGAACCAATTTTCTCGAAACTTAGCACACATCATTCTAGACTTAATTCGGTACGATATACCAAATTTCGAACAAATCGAAAGTCATATAAGGGGCTCAGCTCACCTATAAAGACACCATGCTTCTGCTCGTCTATAAACACATCCTGCTTCAGCTCGTCTATAAAGACTCCCTGCTTCAGCTCGTCTATAAAGACTCCCTGCTTCAGTTCGTCTATAAAGACTCCCTGCCTTCAGCTTGTCTATAAAGACTCCCTGCCTTCAGCTCGTCTATAGACTCCCTGCTTCAGCTCGTTCTTAAAGACTCCCTGCTTCAGCTCGTTCTTAAAGACTCCCTGCCTTCAGCTCGTCTAGAAAGACTCCCTGTTTCAGGTCATCTATAAAGACTCCCTGATTCAGCTCATCTATAAAGGCTCCCTGCTCAAGCTCATATATAAAAACACCCTTTACCTCGTCTATTAAGACTCCCTGCTCCAGCTCGTCTATAAGGACCCCTTTACCTCGTATATTAAGACTCCGTTCAGGCTTGTCTATACAATTATGAAAACAATGTCCTACATTCATGTATACAATAAAATCAGGCTAACTATCCAACTGACAAAAGCAAAACAAATCCAACTATTCATGACGACAACATGCACACGAACAAATACGCAGAAAACAGAAAATGTCCTTCTTTTAACAATGCGTATTATGGGATGGGATTGGCTAGAGAAATGAACGACGGCGAAGGCGCCTTTATGTCTACGAAATATAAAAATGATTTATATATATTTTTATATGCGAAAAGGCGTTGTAGAGAGTCCTAGTAATAATACTTCAAAATGGTATTTTGGTATAAAGAAGAAGTGGGTGGTTTTTGATTTTGTTAGTAAGAAAAAAAAAAAAAATAATAAAGAAAAAACAGTAAAACTGAAAACAAGAAGCTTTGCAGAAAACATATTTTTCGTTTTTTTTTCTTTTCGAATACATTAAAGAATTTTCTTTTGATTTTTCTTGTTTTTTTTTTCTCATTACAAATAAGAAAATATTTTCATTTTCTTTGTTTTACTACAATTTATGGAGAGAGAAAAAAAATAGTGGGCGATTTAGACTTACATTTAGATGGGCATATTGATCGTGTGATTCATTTGCGGGTGGCTTAAATTTGCCACAACAGAAGTTGCAGCAACAACAACAGCAGCAACAGCAACAACAGCCTGTTATTAGTGTACAACAAATAACCAATGCCTGATGGAATAAAAAAATTAAAACATTTAATTAATTTCCATTTATTTGTATTTTGGAATTTCATTTTCAGTTTACCTTAACTGCTGGCGAGGTTACCACAAAGTATGCATTGACATTTTCTTCACCAAATTGTTCAGCAATATATAGACCTAATGAACCATAATTATCATAAATATTACGTTTTGTTTGATCACTTAATATCGAGTGTGCACGATTGACTTCCTTGAACTGTAAATGAAGAGGAAGCGAAATAGGATATAAGAATATGATAATTTGATATAAATTTACGATAATTTAGAAAAATCTCTTAAAGGACTTCTATATACAGACGACCTTTAGAATTATTTAACAGTTTTTGGTATTTTTACAAATGATCCAAAATTTCCATTTAATATTCATTTTAGCAGGATGTTCCCAAGGGTAAAAATATTCTCCACCAAAATCCTCTATAGGTCCTCTAACTAAAGAAGCCCCCAAATAATTTAATATATAGTAATAACATTTAAATTTAAATTTCGGTTAATGCACAAACAAGGTCATTGATGCTTTTTTTTGGACATTTTTACAATTTACCTACATTTTTCATTAAATATTCCTTTTAGCGGGATGGTGCCAAAGGAAAAAATATTTTTCAGCAAATTCCGAAATAGGGCCCCGAACAAAAGAATACTCTAATAATATTATATATAACAATAAAATATTAATTTTAATTTTGTTTAAATACAGCAACAAGGTCGTTGGGGCATTTTTGGGTATTTTTTTTTTCAATTGACCCAAAATTTTCATTAAATATTCATTTTAGCGGGTTGATGTCAAAGGAAAACATATTCTCCACTAAATTCCACTATAGGTCTCCGAACAAAAGAATACTCTACTAATATTATATATAACAATAAAAATATAAATTTTTAATTCGGTTTAAATGAACTAAAAAGCCCAAAATGAGGTTTTTGGGCATTTTTCAATAGAGCAAAAATTCCCACTACTAATATATTTTAGACGATTGGTGTCAACGGAAAAAATATTCTCCAATAAATTCCAGTATAGGTCCCCGAACAAAGGAAAACTCTAATGATTTTATATATAGCAATAACATGTTAATTTAAATTTGGTTTAAATACATAAAAAGGTCATTTTTTGTATTTTTTAATTAACCCAAATTTTGCATTAAATATTCCTTTTAGCGGGATGATGTCAAAGGAAAAAATATTCTCCACCAAATTCTACTATAGGTCCCCGAACAAAAGACAACTCTACTGATATTATATATAACAATAAAATATTAATTTTAATTCAGTTTAAATAAACTAAAAAGTCCAGAATGAGGTTTTTGGGTATTTTTACAAAAGACCCAAAATCCCCTCTAATAATGCATTTTAGACGATTGGTCTCAAAGGAAATAATATTATCCACTTAATTTCACTGTAGGTTCCAGAAGAAAAGAAAATTCTAACAATGTTATATATAGCAATAAAAAATTCATTTTAATTTGATTTAAATACATATAAAAAGCCAGGCTGGCATTTTTGGGAGTTTTTTTACAATTGACGAAAATTTTCCATTATTAATTTATTTTATCGTGATGGTGCCAAAGGAAAAATATTCTCCACTAAATTTCAGCGTAGGTCCGCGAATAAAAGAAAAATCTACTAATATTATATATAACAATAAATTATTAATTTTAATTCGGTTTAAATAAACTAAAAAGGCCAGAATGGTGTTTTTGGGTATTTTTACAATAGACCCAAAATTTTCACTAATAATTTTTTTTAGATGATTGTTGCCAATGGATAAAATATTCTCCTCTGAATTCTACTATAGGATCCAGAAGAAAAGAAAACTCTAACAATGTTATATATAGCATAAAGATATTAATTTAATTTCTGGCAGGTATTTTTGGGAGTTTTTACTATTGCACAATTTTTCATTAATTATTTATTTTAGCCGGATGGTGTTAAAGGAAAACAAATTCTCCAGTAAATTCCACTATAAGTCCCCGAACAAAAGAAAACTCAAATAATTTTATATATAGCAATAAATTATTAATCTTAATTTAATTAAAATTCACAAAAAATGTACTATTACGTATTTTTAGGGGTATTTTTACAATCGACCCAAAATTTCTAGCTATAATGCATTTTAGATTATTGGTACCAATAGAAAAATAATCTCCACTAAATTTCAGTATAGGTCACCGAACAAAAGAAAACTCGAATAATATAAATTAGAGCAATAAAATATTAATTTAATTTGATTTAAATACAAAAAAGGCCACAATGGTGTATTTGGATAGTTTTACAATTGACTCAATATTTGTACACATAATGCATTTTAGACTATTTATATCAATGGAGAAAATATCCATTATCCACCAAATTCCACTATAGGCCCTCAAACAAAAATTTATCTAAATATAATGCATAACTGTTTTATATCGGTCATCTGAATAACTTCGCGACATTTTTACAATTTATTATATTTCATACTTTCTTTCATGTTTAAAGGACCTCTAAAAAGTCTTCTATATACAGATTTTTTCTGTCAGGGCTTCAGGAGATTTCATAAATGTCTTTTAGAAAATATTTTATAGATTGAATATTTTTAAAAAACAAATATATTTACCTTTTCGGCAGCATCAACATTGTCTGGATTTTTATCTGGATGGTATTTTAAAGCAAGTTTTCTATAAGTCTTTTTAATATCTTCAGCTGTTGCTGTTTTAGGAAGTCCTAATATTTCATATAGGGAATCACCCGATGTCCTAAAAAGAAAAGTAAAAATTACACATTTATATGTATTCGTGTATAAATATTTAATTAATAAAAATTCTTTGAAATTACAAACATCGAAAATAAAGGCAAAGTCCATTAACATTTAATTGAAATAGATTGTTTTTCATTTGTCCAAAGGAAAACTTTTTACTTTCTCTCAAATTTCTTGTAATAAATCACACACACACACACAACCATTACCACAATTTTTCTGACCTAATTTTTTTCGTCTGTTTTGTTTTCCATGCCGTTTTATGGTAAGATAACATCATCATCAAGGTTACAATTAAATTCACACAAACACACATTTTAGATACTGATACAAATACAATCAAATCCCATATATATGAGTACCACCACTACAAATGAATGCCATTTAGATTTCAATGTCAACAAGGTATCCGGTTTCCTGCTATATATATATATATATATGTACAGAGGAACTGAAGAGCTTTTATAGATGAGCTGAAGCAGGGAGTCTTTATAGACCTGCTGAAGGTGTGGGAGTCTTTATAGATCAGCTGAAAGTCTGGGAGTCTTTATAAACGAGCTGAGAGGAGTCTTTACATACGAGCATGAAGAGGGTCTTTATAGACGAGCTGAAGCAGGGAGTCTGAAGCAAGGAGTCTTTATAGACGAGCTGAAGCAGGGAGTCTTTATAGACGAGCTAGAGGTCAGGGAGTCGTTATAGACGAGCTCAAGGCCAGGGAGTCTTTATTGACAAGCTGAAGATCAGGGAGTCTTTATAGACGAGCTGAGAGTCAGGGAGTCTTTATAGACGAGCTGAAGGTCAGGGAGTCTTTATAGACGTGCTGAAGGTCAGGGAGTCTTTATAGACGTGCTGAAGCGATTTTTTATAGACAAGCTGAAGGGAGTTTTTATGGGCGAGTTGAAGGGTTTCTTTATAGACCAACTAAAGGTCTAAAGGTAGACGAGCTGAAGGGAGCCTTTATAGACTAGCTTAATAGTCTTAATACACCAATGAGAGTTTTCATAGACAAACAGAATAATGTCTGTAGGTGCCTCTGGAAATAAGTTTTCATTATTATTTCCGCCAGGACGACCTATAAAGTCCCTAATTATTATTTTTTATTCCATTCCAATTCTATAGTGAAAGTACATTTGAACCTTTCTACTTCACTGTATATCTTATCGGTGTGTCTGTGTGTGTTATTTGTGCTATTCATGTTACCTATTTGGAATTCTTTCAAAAACGGTAAAAGTTATTAGTCTCCAAACACTCACAAATCGTTATATACATATAAATCTATATATAATCATAGACATATTTGTATGTATATAATATTTATATATGGTCATGGTAAATAGTTATTCTGATGATAAATTAAGCTCTCTCACATGGTCAGCTACGGGCTGAGTTAGTGAACGTGAGCGTGTGTATCGGTGAGCGTTTTAATGAATGCTAGAAATATAGATATGATTGTTATCGTCACCACCGTCGTTGTCGTCGACGTCGTCATCATCATCATCGACGTTATTGTCACTAGATATATAATGCAAACATACCGCAGTCATAACAAATAATATACGAGGTCGGGGGATTCCCTAAAGGTTTTGCATGTGGTGCGATTATTAGTAGTTTTTTTTTTTTAATAAAAAAGAAAGAATAAATAACGTACAATTTTTATTTGAAGATAATGCATGAGGTGAACACGATAATTGAAATATTTGAACAAAAATAACTAATAATTATTCCGAATAATTAAAAATATATATTTAATGATAATTCTAATGATTTTGATAAGATCATTTTTATTATTATTTCATTTTGGTCAAATTCTTCTCCTTTTAAGAGAATCCTTGAATTTTTATAGAAACCAAAATGTTTATCTTTTTATAAAATGTAGAGAAAGAGGAAAATATCATTTCACGACCTATGAACATGGTAGCCTAGCCGCCATAGCAGCAATTCGGCATTAAGCCAAAGACACAAACAATTGATTCCAAAGAATAGCAGAAACAACAACATTGTATTCTATTCTAATAATACAAGAACTCAATGAGCAATGCAAACATGGTGATACGCACATACAAAAATGGGTTACCTACTTACATCCACATATACACATAAAACGCCTTAACTTAATGACAGAGTAAATGACACATTGTCTGAAGGCAAAGACTGACAAATTTATGCAAATAAAATTTTGAAATATAACCAAGGATATTTAAAGAGAAGGGAGTGTTTATAGACGACTAAAATTGACATGGCATACTTAACTCCTTCTCTGCTTTAAGGCGTTTAGAGAGGATACTTTGTCAAAAGGTAAGATTCTTAGGGTAAACTAGAGGAGAACGACAATATGGTCAGACGGGAACATTTGTAAACGAGCAAAAGGGTTTCTATATAGACGACCTGAAGAGGGTCTTAATAGAAGACCTGAGGGGAACCCTCAGAGATGAGTTGAAGAGGGTACGAGTATGTAGATGAGAGTATAGAGAGTATAAACGAGCAGAACGGAGTTTTTATAGACGAGCTGAAGGGAGTTTTATAGAGGAGATTAAAGGAGTCCTTATATACAATTTGGAGTGATTCCTCTATAAATGAGTTGAGGATCCGGGAATCGTTATAGATGAAATGAAGGCTAGTGAATTTCTTTATAAAGGCCAGCAAATCTTGATATGCCAAATATAGATTAGGAAGTCTTTATAGAGGCTATTAGCCAGATAAACTTATAGACACGCATACAATTTTTATTGACGATCATTAGAGACAAAATTAAAGGCCGAAACCAGGTCAATATAGACGAGCCTGACATGGAGGCTTTATAGAAGAACAGAAGGAATTCTTTATAAACTATACAAAAAAACAATAAGTCTTTATAGACGAACTGAACCGAATCTTTATGGACGAGGTGAATTGAAACAAGGAGTTTCGAAAATCGAACTAAAATAGGGATTTTTATAAGACTGAAGGCCAGGGTGGCTTAATAGAGCTAAAAGTCAGCAAGCTTTTATAGACTTTATTTATAAATGAAGCAGCATATTTTCATAGACGAAACGAATGAGAATCGTAATATAGGAACTTTATGAATGGAAGGTTTTATGTAGGAACTGAAAGCCTTGGTGGCTGTGTACTTCGAATTTTTAAAAAGTATTCCGGACTGTAGTCCGAAAGAGTGTATTTATGGACGAATACGGCAGGGTTTTTTATAGAGGGGCTTTAAAGGTTTCTGAACGACCGGATGCGATATTTATAAGTGACCAGAAGCAATATGATACGTGAGACAAGTTAATTACAAGCATAACCAAGTATGCATTAAAATGTTATTGAGCTCTCTGTAACTATAATACAAGGACGCTGCAGGATTATATCGCATCCGAAAGACACATCAATAAGGTGGATTATCGCCGCTTATGCGAGGATGAGAAAAAACTGAAAACAATTGAGCGTATACTTTGAGATTAAGTCGAATGAAATTGCCTTGTCTAGCATTCTTCTACGGAATAAATACTATAAAAATATTTTCCTTTGCTGAAAATCTGACATGTTTTAGCTAAAATTTGTTTTCTTATTTTAAAACACTTTCCTTTTACACTCATGTCCTTTTCAGGTGCTCAGGATGAACACAATGGATCCAAGGTCTCCGAGTGACAGCATCAGCTAACCTAAATCTTGAGGGGTCCTAGCTTCGGACTTAATCTAGATTTCGTACAGATAACGGGCTGTGCAAAGTTTGGTTCATATCGGACATTCCATTCGCCTGATATTGGATTTGCAAATATTGACCATTTTGACCATTTGTCGGATAGGTACCAGAAGGAGTGGACCAATGGGTCCCATCTTTGTATCAGATGCATGTTAGGTTAAATTAACAGGCTAGCAAAATTTTACCATTTTGTGGAGAAGGTAACAGGAGTGGATCGATATTCCCCATCTACGAACTTATAATCATTTTAGAAAAAATACTACGATGTTTGGACGAAATCGGTAGCACCCTTCGAGAGTTATCGTGAGCACCAGCCGGCCAGACAGATACGGAAATTTATAAATCGACTCTAAATTGTCTGAAACGGATTTGGTCCAACGAAACATATATCTTAAACTAACTAATTCGATGAGGCAAATTTTCACCGTATCAAAGTGTATATACCCTCATTAGCCATAAGGCTGAGGATATAAAAATTGAACCCTGAAACATAATTAAACAAAGTCAATGTTTCTAAATATTGTCATTACAAATATTTTCTAAATTTGTATTATAATCTAATCTTTATTGAACACTAACATTATCAAAACTTTCTGTACGGTGATAACGAGTTATACGTTAGATATGAGTGACCATGGTAGGGAAGGGAATAGGTTATGTTTCAAATGTTCTTTTAGGAAGTATTTGTGATAAGAATCAATAGAAATTAAAAAAAGAAAATATAAAAACCAATTATTATACATGGTAATAAAGATTTGTTTTGTTGGGACATTAACGGAATACTAGGAATAGATTTTTTATTAATCGTGAATTTAAAATTAAATAATCTTATTAAAATATTTGCTGGATTGACAAAAAACTATTAATTAAAGGAAGGAGGGAAACATTCCACTAACCTCCTTTTGGAAAATATTTCCCAAAAGTTTTTCTATGAAATTTAATCCTTTTTCTCGAAGTTTTGTTAAAATTATGCCAACTTAAGTAGAATTCCCTTTTGAAATTGTGTATATAAACCTTATGTCATGGATAATTAATCCCATGTCCTTTTTAGAAATATTCTTGGAAAAATGTGATGATGATGATGGCAACAAGGTTAGAAATAATTTCTCTTAAAAATACGCACACAATTAAACTCGACAAGAAAAATGTTGAAAGAAAAAACGTTAACTTGGAATGACATTGGGTACTGTTGCTGCTAGGTTGTAACAGAAGAAGAAGACGAAGGCGAAAACACTTCCACTGCACGTTTCATAAATTTGACATTAACAGTTTTTTGTTTTTTCCTTATCCTCAATATGGTGTTTTGGACTCAAAAGTTA